TGCATGATTTTAGGATCCCAAGTCCCAACATTTTCTCATGCTTACTTACTATGTGAAGCCGTGAGGTGCCTTCCTGGCCTTTCTGGGGCTTCTATGTTCTTCATTAAAAAAAAAAAAAAAATATATATATATATATATATAAGAATTTATATATATATATATAAAATGTTATTGCTATTATTGTTATTATTTTATTTATTACATTCTGTCATTATGTAGCCCAGGCTGGCCTCCATCTCCCAATCTTCTTTAGCCTCTGGGGTTCCGGGATTACAGTCAGGTGCCACATGACCCCAGCCAGGATGCTGTATTCTTATTTGTTAAATGTCTAGGCTATACTAGACCTTGTCCTTTGCTGAGTCAGAGCTGTCCAGCTTTGTACCAGTCACATCTGGCAGAAGTGGTAGCAGCAGAGTTTAATTGTGTGTGCCTGTGGGCATGTACCTCTGTGTTCACTGTTTTGCCCTGTGTTTTATTGGGGAACTGGGGAGAGAGGGAGCTAAGAAGGGGGGACTTCAGCAGTTGTCAGAGGGTGTCAGGGTCCAATCTGGATGCCTGCTGCCTGTAGGGGAGCTCTTCCCGGAGCCCATTTCTACCTGCTCGGGTGAATCCTTCACACCCAGGTCTTCATCAGTGCGCCATGGAATGAATTGAGTCTCCTATTGGCAGAGTGCTCTAGTAAGGTATTATTTTTCTCTGCCTCCCCCATCTCTGTGATTTTTTGAAATGGGATTCCATTTTGTAAACCTAGCTGACCTTAGATTCACTATGCAGCCCAAGCTGTCCTAGAACTCACAGTAAATCTACTGCCTCGGGTCCTGGAGTGCTGGGATTCCAGGCTTTGCCATCACTCTTGACTTGAGGTACCCCCTCTCCCTTCTCAGCTGACCTGCCCATCAGGCACTGTGCAAGTGACACCTAGGACCCATACTGCTTTTCAGTGTTTATTTCTTATTTTAATATTTTATTTATTATTTTATGTGTACGAGTGTATTGTCTGCATGTGAGTACACCCATGTCGTTCAGTGCCGTGGAGGTCAGAAGAGGGCTTCGGATTCCCCTGGGACTGGAGTTAAGAACGGTTCGTAGTCGCCATGTGGGTGCTGGGAATCGAACCCAAGTCCTCTGCAAGAGCAGTTAGTGCTCTTAACTGCTGAGCCATCTCTCCAGCCCCCAGTGTTTATTTCTTTTAAAATGAGAACAAAAATGAACCTGGGTAGAATCTTATATTAGTCTTCATACCAATGCAGTCTAAAATCATCATTTGTTATTTATTTACTTAATGAAAGAAGGGGCTTATCTAGGGAGCAGAGCCTGAAGTTGGAGTTCACTGAGTGGCATTCCCCACTCCCCCCACTGTTTTGTGCCCTCTGTAAGCCCCCATTCAGAGTGGGAACAAATTTCTCCTGCCTCTTATCTTTCCTTGGGGAGGCCCGGATGTTGCCTGCCTCCCCAACCTAAGTGGGTATGTTCCCCAGGACGCAGGAGAAGAGCACTGGGAGGCAGAGACCTTTTTCTTCTTTTCTCCTTAGCTTTAAGGATCTGCATGTCTCTGCCCACCCCTGAATGCCTGAGTCACAGAGGCAGGATAATGCGCCCTGGTTTAATGTGGCGCTAGGAAGCAGAGTTCGGGTACACATGACTGGGCCATCTCCCTAGCCCTTCGGATGGTTTTCTTGATCCCGGGAGCTCTGCCTTACTTCCTCCTAAAATCTCAGCTTTGACATTTTCCTGGTTACAAAAGTATCACAAAATTCATAAAAACTCAAGCATTGTTATGATGTAACCATCACATTATAGGAAGTGAACATTTTCTTCCTATTTTATTGTATTTATAAATATAATCATTCTAAACTGAAAATGCAGTAAAGTTAGGATCAGTATTGCTTAGTAGCTGAACCCGTCTGTTTCTTTCTCCAGTGTGCTTTGTCAGGGTTGGTTTTCTGTACCTGTTTACATAGTCTTTTAGGCAGGATTTTCTCCTGGTGATCCTTGGCAGTCTTGTTTTTGCTATTTTTTTTTGTTATTGTTTTAAGATTTTTATTGCACTTGTTAATTTATATGTGTGTGGGTGGACATACGTGCCATGTGGAGGCCAGAGCTCAACTTTCAGGAGTCAATTACCTCCTTTCACCATGTGGGCCCTGCCGCTCAACCCCAAGTGCCTTTATTTGATGAGTCCTGCTGTTGTTTCTGACACAAGGTCTCACAGTATAGTCAAACTCCCATGAGTCCTCTCACCCCAGCCTCCAGAGTGCTGGGATTGCAGGTGTGAGCCACCACGCCCAATTTTCTGTTATCATTGACTGGCTACTCCTGGGTGCTGCTCCTGAGTTAACCAAAGCCCCAGAATGAGAAGGAGGCCAACTCAGACCCCTGTAGGCAGAGTGGTGTGGGATTCCCACACACTGAGTGGATGATGGGAACAGGAGGACATGGAGAACTTGTTCTCTGAAGAAGCAGCTGGCTCCCCACTATATACTGGTTGTCGAGTTACGGAGAGATGTCAGATCAGGAGGCCAGTTCTTTTGGATTTGTTTTACTTCATATAGAAGGTTAAAACACCAGATTTATACGTGAATTTTCTCATTTAAAAAGATTAGTCTGGCCAGGCTTGGTGGCTCACTCACACCTGCAGTCCCAGCACTGGTGATGGAAGTTGGAGGAGCAAGAGTTTAAAGTCTTTCTTGGCTAGTAATGAGTTTGAGGCTAGTGTGGGCTGAATGAGACCTTGGTGACGAAAACCCAAAGCAAGCAAACAAAGTTGGGTTATAAAACAACCCTGTTAGCCAAACAAATCAGTTTGTAGCCCAAGTTGAACACAGTTGGAAGCAGGCGGGCCCAGAACCCGAATGAGAAGAACTAGAATTCATTTCCTGGGGTTTGAATGGGGCTGAGTTCAGATGACAGTGCACTGGCAGACCACTATCTTAGACCATTCTTCTTGGGACTGGAGAGGTAGCTTAGCGGTTAAGAGCACTCACTGCTCTTGCAGAGGACCTGAGTTCAAATCCTAGCATCCACGTGGCATAACTCCAGTTCCAGGGGATCCAACACTCTCTTCTGGCCTCTTTGGGCACTGCATGACACAAGTACACTTACATCCATGCAGGCAACACACTCATATGCATAAAAGAAAAATAATAAAAAGTTCTTTTGCTTTTGATGCATATGATTCACCCTTTGAGCTTCCAGACCACCACCATTCCCACAAATAACCTTAATTGTTTCCCTTGGATTGAGTGTTTCTGCTTGGCTACTTCTGCCCCTCATTTTCCAGATCCTGGTCTCTTGTCCCTAATCTGCCTTCTGCCTCCACCTCCCACCTCCCAGGTGCAGTCAGCATATTGGATGGCAGGAATCCTTCCTTGCAACACATCCCGGGTGAACCTGGTTGGAAGAGCTGGAGTAGACCAGGAGTGGCTGGGATTGTGTAACACACAGAAGTGTTGGTATCTGTTGCCAAATGCTGGAAGAGAAGCCGGTTCTATTTGATCTCCATGAAAGCTTTCCCAGCATGCACTTGGGACTTGGGAGGCTGAGGAAACTCTCTGATAAGTGTGTGAACAGGATGCCTGATATGCCACTCACAGGAGGTGAGGCAGTCTAATGTGACCATCAACTGGCACAGGTGAGTCTCTTGTTTAGAAAGTAAAGATTTGAGGGCAACTTTTCATTGCTGTACCAATCTCATTTTGGGGAAGACTTGGGGTGGGGGAGGTGATAAAGTATCTCCAGCCAGAGGCTTCTAGATCTCAGCGGACTTGCTTCTCTCCCCTCCCAGGTGCACCGTCTGTTTGCTGTCCTGTAGAAGCTAAACAGCATTCGACTGGTTGACTTCATAGAAAAACACTATTATTTTGAAACGAGGCTCAGTGTCTGGTGTCAGTGACCTGTGTAGAGGGAACACACTGGGTCTGTGCCTGGATTCTGGAGTCACCATCTGACTACAGCTCAGAGTGTCGCCACATCAGTGGAGCAGTTGGGGAGGAATGACAGCATGTCTGCTGTTGGGCTGTGGTCTGTTCTGTTGCTCATGCTGGCTGTTCTCTGCTCTAGAAGCTCATCCTGTGGCCTCTCAACACACATAGAAATAGGTGAGTGCTGGGCCCTGTTTGTGAGACAGGACCTCCTGATGTTTCTATCTCTGGCTGGTCTGGGGCTCAGTATGTAGACCAGGCTGGCCTCGAACTTGAAGTGATCTTCCTGGATGCTGAATTACAGATGTTCATCACCTTTCTTTTGTGTGATACTTTTTGAGACTTATTTTTATTGTTAATTGTGTGTGTGTGCACACATGCATGTGTGTGTGTGTGTGCGTATGTGTGTGTGTGTGTGTGTGTGTGTGTTTATACGTGTGTATATGTACGTGTAGCTGCCTGAGGAGGCCAGAGAGGAACTGGATCCCCCTGGAGCTGGAGTTGCAGCATTTGTGAGCTACCTGATGTGGGTGCTGGGGATTGAACTTGGATCCTCTGCAAGAGCAGCAAATGCTCCACCACATCTACTCCACCAAGCCATCTTTCCATGTTCCCTGCCTGTGTGTTATTTTTAAAAAAGGAATCTACTGAGTGAGCTAGCCGGGCAACTAAGGCTTGAGGAAAAAATTGGAAATCTGTCTCATGTTGGTACAATCTTCTCTGCTGTGTGGTATGTCCTGACAGTGGAGAAAAGAGGTAAAGTTAGAAGGGTCCTGGGCCAGGGACTGGCAGGTGGGCTGTGTGGAGGGATGGGTAGGCGAGAGAGCTGAGGCCCCTATGGTCAAGGGTGTTCCTGGCACAGGGGAGTGAGGAGAGGAACTGGGAGAGAAAGAAAGTGGAATGCCCATGGCAGGAGAGTGAGATTATTTTTGTTGCTTCAAATATCCAGGGATGGGGTTTCCAGGCCACATGTGGCCACAGGAGTGGGTCCCAAGTCGAATGGCTGTCATGGCTCTCATTTGTGCTTTAAGGTATATCTGTGCATCTGTGCATCTGTGCAGCTGCCTCCTATGGACTGGCCTTGAGGTATTCGGCTTCAGGGAAGTCAGGGCAGCTGGCGAATCTGAGTGGTTGTTAGCATTGTAGGTTCAGCTAGAGGCCACAGGAGCTGGTGTGCTGACCTCGGGCAGAGGCAGAATTATGTACATAGTTAGGTTTACATGAGAGGCAGTAGAAACTGGTGGTTTTAAATGTTTATTTTTTTCTAGCTTTTATGGACCTCCATAGAAGGGACTATAGGCCTCCCCTAATGGAAGGATTTGACTGTTGTGTGAAGTCTATTTGTGATTTTTAAAAAAATTTATTTATTGTTTTTATTTTATGTGTATGAGTGTATTGCCTTTCCATGTGGGTGCTGGGATTCAAACCCAGGTCTTCCGCAAGAACAGTCGGTGTTCTTAAGCCGAGCCATCTCTCCAGCCCGATTTTTTTTTTTTTTGAGACAGGGTCTCACTATGCAGACTCAGCTGGTCCTGTTTGTTTATTATAATTATTATCATCATCATTATTATTGAGACAGGGTCTCCCTGTAGCCCCAGATGACCTGGAACTCACTGTGTAGATGGGGCCAGCCCTGATCTCACAGAGATCGCCTGCCTCTGCCTCCTGAGTGCTGGGATTAAAGGCGTGTACCACCACACTCAGTTACTCATGGTTTTAGTATTTTTAAAATTTATTTTATTTTTTTGATGTGTATGAGTGTTTTATCTGCATGTATGTAAGTACACAACATGCATGCAGTGTCTATAAATGCCAGAAGAGGGCATCAGATCCCTGGAGCTTGAGTTATAGACAGTTATGAACTGTCATGTGAGTCCTGATGACTGAACCAAGGTCCTCTGCAAGAGTAGCCAGTGCTCTTAGCCACTGAGCCATCTCTCCAGCCCTTTGATTTTTTAAAAAATTATTTATTTAATAACCACATACTTAGAAGAAGCATTTCATTACATCAGCATTGACATATTCAATAGCAATTTTCTGAGCTAGGCTGCATCTCTTACAAAATTGGCTGTACATTTTTAGGTTTGCAGTTGAATTATTACAGTTATACAATGTTGAACTCAGTATAAACCCTATAAGGCATAAAACTGAATGGGGTTTTAGCCTTTAAAAAAGCTCTCCATTTCATTTTAAAATATACTGTTTCATACAGAAAAACTCATTTTGAATGCTACTAACACTTAGATGTTTGCACATGCATCTCTAATCTTTATTTATCTGATTATTACTAGTCATAATTGGTTGCACTTGGATCCTTGGTGCCTGTGTATGTCTATAAAGTCATTGGGTAGATTTCAATGGTA